TCGGTACGACGTGGAGATCTGACGTGCAATAATGCCGGGCACGACATCCCCAACCCCAATCCCAAGGAACGATATATTATGTACCTGCCTGAAGAAGTAGCCAGATCTCAGTTCCAGGCGTCGGTTACGAGATCCGCAACCCCATCATATGTGTCTCCATCACTCCAGTTGGAGTCGACGCTCTTCTCGCTCACGCCGTCAGGTTCCCCATCGCTGGAGCCAGATTCGCTCGAATCCAACTTGATCAAATCGTCGAGTGCTCCGACCGAACCGTCGCCGTTATCGTCCGACTCGGGGTCCTCCAACTCTTCATCGGCGTAGCGATGCTTCTCGCGTGTCCCGGGGGTGTTCTTCAGGGCAGGGTCACTCTCCACGTCGGCTCGAACAATTCTACCAGCTGCCCGCACGACGGACATCCTTGCGTCTGCGTCCTCCGTGTCCTTCTCGACTTCCTTCAGAATCGACTCGAGAGACCTACCCTTATCCGCTAGCTGGTTGGATGGTGGCTGTGCGGGTGCTTTACGTCGAGCACGCAGCATAAACTCAACGAGATGCTTGTCCCCAAGGGTGTTTGGGAAGAGGAAGAGTTCCCGCTCGCGTGCATCTCCTTGCGCTCCGTCGGCTCGGACCAATCGTGATTTGCTGTCGGGGTCTGCGTCCATCCCGGTAAACAAGTCCTGGACGATGCTTCGTGCGTACTTCCCCGTTATCTCCTCCATGCCAACCTTCGCTCGTTCAGCAGCTAGCCAACCGGCGACGTCCTGCCAGCAAAGGATATCACCTCGACCGAGGACGTCATCCACCATCCTCCGCACCGTGCTCAAAGGCTCTAGAAGCGTCGGCGCCTCGTCCCCCGATCCACATGGCTTGTTCGCTGCTTGCTATGGCGGTTTGTCGTCTCTCTTCATGCCGTTCAAGCGGCTCTGGTACCAGTCACCATCACTCACCATCGCATTACCCTCCGCGACATGATCTCCTGCAGGATCCATGGGATACCACCTTACGCGGCTCTTGTCCGATTTCCGGT